TACATCTGTTATCTTAAAGAAGCCTCGTCTCAAGTCTTTTTATTTGGCTTTATTGAGACTTGGGAAATAAAAGGTGCCATACAGTGGGAACATTAAATTTCCCCCCAGTTGGTACCTTATCCACATTAACCATAGAACAGAGCTATCCTATTTTGGGAGCATGATATTGGGCCCAGCACTAAAAAAGTCATTTATCACAAAAAACAGGGGGAGCGGACCTTAGTGTGACTAACATATTCAAAATATATACATAATCTGTACTGAGAAAATTATAGCTAAAACTTATTTTCATAAATATAAGTTACATTGGAAGCACTGGGATCAGCGCAAAGTATGTTTCAACCAAATTCAGCAAACCTCCAGTCCATAGTTGCACAATGCCTACAAAGATTTGTATTACAGATGGAATAACAAGCCAACTTTGCTCCAGCTTTTCCTAGGCTTTTAAAAATAGGAAACAATTAAACTTAATTACTCTGAATTGTGCTATTGATTTCAATTCTATAGTTACAAAACAGCATTTAGGCGTGTAGGAACTAGCTGGCTGGGGAATTCTGGGAGTTGAAGTCCACACAGCTTAAAGCTGCCAAGGTTGAGAAACACTGATATAAAGTGTTGAGGTTTTCATTAATCAGCATTACTGTAAGACTGTTTTCTTTCCACTTTTAAGCATCTGGCAATCCAAGATCTAGGAATAATTTCAAAAGAAACCGCTTACCTCTGACCATGCCAAAATAACCTTCCTCCCAATGCTATATCGATAAGTATCCTGCTCAATCCCATTTCAAGAGTTATGAGACCATACGTACATTTGCCAGGATTTCATATGCTTTCTTACTCATATTCTAGGTAGCCAGAGGCCCTGCCAAACCAGGGTCGCCCAAATGCTGCACAACTATTTTATTGGGCCAACTGAACTGTCCAGTTTATTGCAGGACTGATGTATTTACAATATTTTTACGTGGTTAAAACCTTTAGGTATCAGATTAAAACCCCCAAGAGCTACAAGCCACAAAGTCAATTCTAAATGCCATAAGAGACAAAATGTCATATTTAATCACCATACTACAGCAATAATATTAGGAACATTATTATCATCAAGAAACTACAATTCCTACTTCCAGCTCTGGGTTATGCTTTACAAGAAAAAAAAAATTGGTAGGAAACAAAATATAGCTATTCTTCAGATCCAGTTCCTCCTCTTTGCTGATTCACTGGCTCAAACGTTTTGCTAAACCAGTGATGGTTAATCTTTTGCCTCAGGGTGTCAAAAATTCAGAAAATGCCTAACTTGACTCTGCTGGCATGTCACCCCCACCCCAAACAAAAGAGAAACAATTCTTTACATATTCATTTATTAAAAAAAATACAGTCCTATCATATATATTATATATTATATAAAAAAAAGCCAAATAATTACAAAAATGAAATACGAGTAAAACAAATTCAGTTTCTCTGGTATCTCAAACAGGGAGAATAGTTGTTGTCAGGTGCTGGTGAACACTGGTGTGTCACCTAAAACATCATGGCGTGTCACCTTTGACATGCATGTCATAGGTTTGCCATCACTGTGGTAAGCATTTATTTAGTTTTGGCCAAGCATATTGTGTGAATCCAAGTTCCTGTGACTTGCAGTTCCAAGATGGCAACCGGGAGTGAACATTGACCACAACACTAGGTTCTGAACAGTGGTTATGGGTTTCATATACCCTATTTCCACCCTGCAAACTTATTTGCTAGCTTACCTGAGTGACCTGGCAGCTCCCCAACACCAGACTATCAGCTCTGGGGTGCCCTGGAGCCATCTGCCTGGCGGAGCTTAGCAGAGGCCAGTATGGCCAGGCGGAGCTCTGCGGTTGTGTTGGGTGGTGTGGCGCAATGCAGCACAGCAGGTGGCGATCAGCAAGCACTGAACTGTTGGTTTGGGGGTACTTGGAGCCCTGTGCCCAGTGGCGTGGTTGCATCGGGCGATCCAGCGCAGCAGGGCACAGCGAGCGGTGGGCAGCAAGAGCCCAAGGAGAGATCTGGGCTGCAGGAAAGAAACTTCCAACGCTGGTGGCGAGCGGCCCAGTACGGCGCTGTGCAGCAAGTGGCAACTAGCAAGACCCTGGGAACGGGCCGCAGGGAGAGAATTTGGAGCCAGCCTGTGGTGGTTGCGGGTGCTTCAATTCCACATGCCTGGAGGGCCCAAAGATCAGCCAGATTGGCACCAGAGGACTGGTGGCAGCCTGAGTGCTGGCTGGAGGATTCGTGGCGCAGGCCTGAGACCAGGATATCGGCCGGTTAACTGGTGTCTGAACAGCGACTGTGGCCAGAAAGGGCCTGAAGGACCTGTGAATCGGTGGGCTGCTCTTGGTCAGAGCATTGGGATCCCTCCAGGGGATGATAGTTGGGCTTCCCTCCCTAGGGTGAGAGACAGGGAGGGAAGCCCAAGGGTGTTTGGGTGAGTGTGTGAGCATGGCAAGGATACTCACCCCGCCCCGAGTGAGAGTCAAGGAAAGTGGAGAGGGGTGAATCAGGTGCCCCCTTCCAACTAGCGAGAGAAGTCAGTGGAGGGGGCACAGTGGAGGAGGGATAGGGGCCCTATGGTGCTGAGAGTGATAGCTGAAGTGCCTGGGAACCCATCACACACACCCGCAATTGATTTGGAGTTTGTTATTGTATGGTTGAAGGTTCCCCTAAATAAGGAAGTCAGGGATTCAGGATTTGGGGGAACTGGAGTGCCTGAGGGGTTTAGGGCAGGTTATACCACTTAGGTGGTGACAGGCAGGGATGTTATGATGCGAGTCAGAGGGTGCACCCTCAGGGAAGACACCCCAGTATCTTACCAGTGGCATGTTCCGGCCCTCTGGACTCAGACCCAGGCCCTAGACAGCAGACCCACAGTGGCCCTGGCTTTCAGCTGCTGCTTCTTAATGCCAGGTCAGTTAACAAGGCCCTCCTTATATGCAATTTGATCACTGAGGAGTGGGGTGATATGGTGTATTTCACCGAAACCTGGCTGGGCTGTGGAGGGGGGTTGCCCCTTTCAGAAATGTGCCCAGCCGGGTTTAGGGTTTGGTACCAGCTGAGACCCCAGGGCAGGGGAAGAGGGGTAGCAGTTGTCATCTGGGAATCTCTGTTGGCCTTCAGAGGCACTGCTCCACAAGTAGCTGGTTGTGAGACCCTGTTCCTGAAGTTGGGCTTGCGAGAATAGTTGGGACTGTTGTTGCTCTACCAGTCTCCCTGCTGCATAGCAATTTCCCTGCCTGAGCTGCTGGAGGCCATTGTGGGGCTGGTGGTGGAGTTCCCCAGACTTATGGTCTTGGGGGACTTCAACCTGCCATCCCTAGGGCGTGCCTCAGAGGTGACTCGGGAATTCATGGCCACCATGGTGGCTATAGGTCTGTCCCAGATTATTTGTGACCCAGGTCAGGACAGTGGTCTCACACCAGACTTGGTTTTCTTGTTAGAGCAGTGGCAATGGGATCTGAAGGAGGAATTACATCTGTCCCCCTTGTCATGGACATGCCGTGATGGCCCTGAGATTCTCCTATGCTACCCCCCTCTGCAGGGAGGCAGGACCTATTCAACTGGTCCGCCCACGGTGACTGATGGACCCAATAGGATTCCAAAGGGAGGTGGGGATTATACCCAAGGGTCTGGTCCAGCGGAGGCCTTAGATGCTACCTGGAATAGGAAAATGGCTGAGGTCTTGGATAAGATCGTGCCCGTGCAATCTCTCCTAACACATCGAACCCAACACTCCCTGTGGTTTACAGAGGAGTTGAGGGTCTTGAAAAGGATTAAGAGATGTCTAGAGCACCACTGGAGGAAAACAAGGGCTGAACTCGACAGAACACAAGCTAGAGCTGGTCAGTCACTCACGCCCTGGTCATCTCTCAATTAGACTATTGCAATGCACTATACATGGGGCTACCCTTGAGGAGTATCCGGAAGTACAGCTGGTTCAAATTGCAGCCATGTGGACAATCTTGGATGTCCCAAGGACATCACATATAACACCTTTACTGCGGGAGCTGCATTGGGTGCCAGTTTGGTTCCAGGTACATTTCAAGGTATTGGTTATTATCTTTAAAGCCCTACATGGCATGGGTCCAGGTTACCTGAAGGACCATCTCATCCCCATTACATCAACCTGTCCCACCCAGTCAGGCAGAGAGGGCATGTTGCAGACCCCGTCAGTGCGAGAAAGTTGGCTGGCGGGGCCCAGGAGGAGAGCCTTCTCTGCCATTGCCCCCACTCATTGGAATATTCTCCCCAGAGGTACGGCAGCCTCCTACCCTCCTGGTTTTCCAGAAAGGATTAAAAACCTGGCTCTGCCAGCTTGCATGGGGCGATAAGAGCTCTAATTGTCCCTGGAGGTGGTTAGCGCCCTGATGACACTCCCTGAGCTATTTGCCAATTTCCCATCATTCTTGGAATTTATTAAGATTGTTTTTATATTGTATTTTAATTGATTTTATCTCTTCTGTAAACCACCCAAAGTCACTTTTTAACAAGATGGGCAGTGATAAATTTGATTGATAAATAAATAAATAAATAAATGAATAAATAAAATAAAATAAAATAAAATAAAAATCCATCCAATATGGATTATAAACCATGGATTAAGGCTTAATGTGTTAGGAAGCCCAGTCCATCATGGCATGTTTGATAAACATGACTGAATAAAAAATTGTTTCAGAACAATGTATGAAACTAGCCTTAAAGTGACAAGTAAAGTAGCCTCCAGGAGAGATGACGTGTTTTCTGTAGCAAGTCATTTAAAAAAGGTATTGCTTTTTATTGGCAGAGTGAGCTGGGGGCACAAGATCCCAGTGGATGTCAGGAAAGTGGCATGAACTTTTTAGCATACTGTGGCGCATGAATCTATGCAACTGTGATTTAACAAGCCACGGTTCAACCATACCTTAGCACAATGAGTGAAGCAGTTCACAGTTCCAACACAGTGAAACTTACCAAAGGCCTAAACTTCAGATTTACAAACTCGAGGACTTCCAGGGAAGCAATGGCAAACTGAAGACCGCTCCGCTGAGAGTGGAGCCAACAACTGCGGCAGAATGAGGACCCAGTGAATGGACCAGCTTCTCAGAATTCCTCTCTGGATAAGGAGAGGACTCGGGATCACCCATAAGCACTCCAGACAGTAGGTCCCTGTAAAGAGACCATGAGACAGCAGTCTCCAGTGGGTTTAGAGCTCTGGGAGATGAAGAATCATCATCTTTCCCCAAGCCACAGTCAGCACCTTTAAAAAAAAAAAACTGGGTTCACATACTTCCTTTCTTAATCATTTCTGGAAATTGCTTGTTAACTGCTTTTTGGATATTAGGAATCTTCAGAACAGCAACTTTTATTACACCAGGTGAGTCTTCTTCAATCCCTTCTGAAAGTTTTATGTAAGTTTAAAAATTCTTATTTTGGAATATACAGCAAAAGGGTGATTAGAACTTTGATATTTTGGAAAGTTATTAACAGACTAAGGTTCCAGATGGATTTGAAATAAGATTTTGAAATTAACTATAAGAAACCTTCCCATGGGAAAATGCTGTAGATTTTAAAAAAACATGGTGAGACTTTGAAGGTTGGAAACTAGAGGGAACCAGAAAGAACTAAAGATTATAATTAAAGGAGAAGAGCACTTAAATTTGACCTATTTATACAGAATGGGGCAAAATGCTTTAACTTGGGTTGAATTCAAGGAAATTTGAGAACAATGGATTCAGAAGTATTTTTAGAGAAAATGATAAGTTATTGTGTTAAAAGTAAAGGGAAGGAATATAAAGTTGGTTTATTTGATCAAGGTTAAAATATATATGTTGTAATTTCTGGTAACCTTTAATGGACTTTTGCTGATTAGGACCAGGCTTTAAGAATTCATTTATATATAAGAGATGAGACATGGGAAGAAAAGTTCTTTTGTTGTATTATTAGAGGTGGTGATAAGTTACTGAAATTGTTTGTACTTGTGATGAAGGAAGAAGTCATTTCTCTATATATCTCTTTTCTTTTTATTATATTTTTATTTTTATTTTTTCCTTTCTATTTTTTTCCTGCACTTTTAATTTTTTTCATTCTTTTATATTTTTTTCTAGTTTGTATTAGTTTTTTTTTTTTTTTGCCACAGTAAACCTTAATAAAAATATTATTTTTAAATAATCTACAAATTCAAATTACACATTAGCTCCTGGTATGGGGTTGAGGGTCAGCAGAGCGTTTATGTAAGCCAGCATTTCTTCTTCCCAACTCCCTCAGGCTGCAGGTTTAGCTGGCCACAGGAGTGGACAAATATAAATTTTCAAGCAAAAATGTCCTATGCTGCATTGGAGAAACACTATATCAGACATTCCAGGACACTGATGAAAGCTTTAATTAACAGCTCGTGGCAGCTTGGCAGCCAATATCAGCACCAGTGCGCCCAGGCAAGAGTCAGGAACATTAGCAATTGCCCAAGAGTGAGCATGGCTAGTAAGAATGAATGAAGCAATGCATAGGAGATAAAGCACGGATTGCCCCACCACCACCACCATTTTTTATGAATTGGGGAAGGGGTCATTTTATATTTGCAAAGAATAAAAGATTCTGCTGAAACCAAGAATGTGGGCAGAGCTGGAAAATCCTGGAGATGCCCTGCTTAAAGGTGCAGATGCCTTTGAAGATTAGCCTTGGCTGGAAGGGGCTGCCTGCCTGCTGAATTTTATTCTTTTGTGTACTGTCTAAACAGGGCATCTCTCTCATCTCTCCTTCCCTGTCCAGTTACCTCTTCTCCCGATATCATCACTATCACTCCTTTTGTCCCTTCCTTTTTCTTTCTCCTTCTTCTCAGAGCAGCCATCTCATCTCCTTACTGTAGCTCCCTCCTGGTGAAAAGAGGGGGAATGCGTGTTTATGTCCTTCTGTGTCCCTCTCTGTGGGACAGCAATTGAATGGTACATACTCACCAGGGAATCATTTAATTCTATAAACGGAAACCTTATTTTACAGGCAATTAGTTTGAATTATTCAACTAATCTAACTTTTTTTACCTGATCCTTTGACATATACGCGTCCTATGGAACAGCATCCCTCCAGACATCAGCATGACCCCAACCCTTCTAGCCTTTCACAAGGCACTGAAGACCTGGATGTTCCCTCAGGTATTGAAGCCAGCAGGTTAAACCAGCCATGTTGGTGGAGTATTGTTGGTCTGTATGAATTAATACTGGATTTTTAGACTCATGCCTATGTTATGTATTATTATTATTTATTAGGTTCTACGTTGTACGGTATTATGTTTTGTTGGTTTTAATTCTCTGTGTGCTACCCAGAGTCACTACCATGAGATGGGCAGCTATATAAATGGTTAATAAATAAATACAATGAATAAAAGTGCGTCACACATACATTAATTAGGTTGGGGTAAATCACAGGATTGATTTCGGTTAGAATTAGCAAGCTTAGTTGGCAAAATATAAAAGCTGAGCACTACACAGTTTGTTTGTTTAATCTGTGAGGGTTTTTTTTTCATCCTTTAGAATTGGAGATCATCTTAAAGCCAGGGCTGTCCTCCTTTGAGTTAATGTGATAGATGCACTTGTCCAATACACCAGTCTTTTCTTCAGCACGGGCTGCTCATGTGCCAATATATTATACAAATACCTACTTAAGATTGGTGACTTATCTGAATTCCATAATAAGCATCATGCTGATGTAATTATTGATGAACAAGATGGCCCACTTAAGATCAACAGGATAGCCAAATATAGGTTTTGAACAGCTTAGGACCTATCAAGAATGGAGAAACAAACTGTACTGGACACAAAGCTAGTCACCACTTAGTAAGACAGATGCAAAAAAGGACAATCAAAATGTTTAAGAGGCTAAATTAAATTCATACAAACAGGGTTGCAGCATTTGGAATTTTTTCACTTAGAAAAGGTAAGGCAGGGGACATGACCTCAGTTTATAATATTACATAAGTTACAGGAAAACATGCTATACATCATGTATGGGTGTGTTCGTTGGTGCACAAATGTGTGTAGAACCCAAAGTAATCTAATGAAGCTTAATGGTATGTATCAAGATAGATCAAATGAAATATTTCTCCACAGAGTAATGTCTCAGCTATGGAACTCTCCACAAGATTTAGTGATAGGTGTAAATGTAAGATGATTTCAAACAGAATAAGGCAAATTCATAAACAGTATAAAAACAATCATTCCTTGCAAGGTGTACAAATGCTCCTTTTTGATTTAGAAGTAGTTTCTGAGGAATGATTTATTAAATTATTCTCAGGTTCTCCATGAAAAACAAGTTTCCAAAATTGATAACAATAAAGCAATCAAATATTATAACTAAAACATTAAAGCATAGATTAAAAACTAGTTAAGAAATGAAGAACAGCAGTACTAGCTTAATACCTACTTCACCAAGGTAGTTTAAATCCCCTGAAGTGAGCATGAATGAACACAATATTCTCTACTAACAGAAGGCCAAAAGAGATAGAACTAGTCTGGTTTGATTTAGAAGAGAGCTCCAGAAACTAGGAATAATCACCTAGCTTGTTTAAAACCAAACTTGTTTTAATGTGTTCACCAAACATGTTGCTAAAAACAGGGGAAGGATTTCTCCCAAGGACCTGTCAGAATGGTACCGGTATATACTATCTACTCTCCCTTAAAGTCTCAGAGCACAGAGATACAGATGCTATATTATCTTATGCCTGCATCTACAGGGTTTTACATGACTTACACCACCACCACCCTCTGGAGGGGAAGAGAAATTCTCTATTTTTACACCGTGTATATCCTGTATGGTATAGGACCTGAACATTCAGAAATGGGAGAATACAGTTCTATGAGGTTGTACAGTCACAACCAACATCTTGACTTGCAAGCAGAAACAGACAGCTACCAGTTGAAGGTGCTGGAAAAAAGGAATTGCATGTTCTCTGGAGCCAGCCCAATTGACAGAGTTCTGGACCAGCTGAAGCTTCTGAAGACTTTTCCAAGAAAGTTTCCATGTGGAGTGTATTACAACAGCCCAAATGAGATAGAGTAAAGCATTTGGTGTTAAGGCCAGATAAGAAATCCCTAAGGACTGGCATTGCTGCCAAACTAACCTTAGTTAAGACAAGGCTCTTCTGGTCACTGTCAAAATCTGGTCATCCTGTTTCAGGGCTGAATCCAGAAGTACATTCAAGTTATGAATCTGCGTGTATAATAAAGCTTGAATTGTTATTCCTTGGACTGCCTTTCCATTAAGCAGAAATACTTCTGTACAGCTTGAATTAAGTTTCAATAAAAGCAATAGTCCACTGTTCACAAATCCTGTCTGTGAGCTTCCCCATTAAGTATCTGACAATCCTTTCACACTCCAGTCCTGTTAGAAGTTGTGTTTAAGGCAATGTCCCCTTACTTTCAATAAAATCGGTTCTGGATGCACAATGACTAAAAAGACACTTAGCAGGAAGCATTAAGGACCCAAAATTCACCAAAGTTACAATGATCTCAGGGTGATTTTTTGTTTTGTTTTTACTGTTGTCTTTTGCTTTTAACCTTTCTAGGTGAACCACCAATGCTATTATTACCATCCTGGTTCATACGTATTAGCCTTAAGAGCAACATGCTGAATTAAAAGAAAAAAGAAAATTCATTATTATTAACACGCCAAGCACAAAACCTACAAAAAAGCCAACAATCACAAATTCAACAAGTGTTACGTTCATGTTTTTTGGAATAAACTTGGAGATTTTGGAAATTAATTGTTCAGGAACCATGAACAGGATTAGATATGAGGTCAGCATCCCAGCTCAGAGGACCTGCTTAACAGGGATGGCCACCACTCACTCACACAGGTGCTTCACCCGAAAACACAACAGGATTCCAAGAAAGAAATACACACGAAGCACTTCTAGCAAGACGATCAGCTCTGCTCTTCTTCTTCCCCCACAACCACCTGCTTTTACCTAGTACTCCAACTGCGATACCTAAACCGCGTGGAAGAAAAGACGGGGAGAGAGAGAAACATCACTTCATTTTACATCTTGCAAAGGCGAGCTTCAGCGGGTCTCCTACCTGCTGCAGTGTGCCCAGGAAGAGAAATAGCTAATGCTGCTTCAGACTGAAAGCGTTTGCTCTTAGATCCAAGCTCTGTTAAAGAGGCTAGATTATGGGCGAAAAGACCACGGAAAAAAATTAGCCCCAAAGAACCCAAACAGGCATACTCTGAGCAACGTTAGCGTTCTCTTCCAAATTCCCAGATACTGGCACGTAAATCTCCCCTGGTAGTTCAAAAGCTACGGCCGGTTACGGGGGAGAAAAAGCAGGCTCCCTCCAGCTTCGCCCCGAAACTTGCTTTAACCAGGCGCTCTGCTGGGGGTGGAGCCTGGAGATAGGCCCGCGCGAGGAGGGGGCGGGCAGGAGGGCTTCCCCGTCCCGCTGCGCCTCCACGTGGATATACTTTTGTCGAGGGAGACGCCTGAGCAGAGGCGGGCGGAGGGAGGGGGGCGGGGTGCGCGGGGGGGGCGAGGTGTTTGTCCTGTGAAGCGCGGAACAGCGCGACTCTGTCGTCTTTAACAGGTCGGCGGTCGGATCCCTCAAGGAAGGTTACACGGAGCAGAACATGCTTCGATCATTCCCGCGTGCAGACGAAGGTCTGAAAATTTTTTAGGACCCGTTGCTAATTAACCTATAAATATAACTCTGGGTTCCCGTAGGTACTATCTTGGTACCTTCCCGGTACCTTGTGTCAGCTGAATTTCATTTTGTGTATTAAGATTTTTTTTTGGTCTCTTTAAAAACTGGGCATTAATCCACTAAATGGCAACCTTTTTTCCAAGAATGCCTTTAGGCTACCAATGAGTCTCTCGGGCTGGCTGAGAAAATAAAAAGGATCTAATGGTTTGCTAGTGATATCTGCACAGATGGGGAGCTAGATGTTAGCAACATCACCGCTAGGTTGCCTTCTGGTAAAATGATGCTCTGTGATAGTCTGTGTGCACCATGGTGGATATTTTATCCATGCTCTTTCTCCTATAGCAGTTATTTGGGGAGAAGCCCCAGGTCACCTTTTCAAAATTCCAGATGTATCCACCATCTCCCTTACACACCAGGTTTAGGAGGAGGATGCCTCATGGATTATAGGCAGTGGCAGTGAGAATAACTTAGCAGCTATGCCGTGGCAGAAATGTGTTGACCAAGAACGTTTCTGGAAAAGGAGATTGAAGACTTCCAGCCTTTACCCTTCAGGCCCAGCCATGCCACTACAAGTCCATATAAGCTTACTGTCAGAGGTTGGCTATCAGATTTACTAACTTAAGGAAGTTAGTAGGCTCAGATACTAGAGGATTTGGTTGCTCAGGAACTATTGTTGGAATACTTAAATGTAGTTTGTTCAGGGTCAAATTCTCAGGAGGTTCAGAGAATCCTCTGACTGAGGTGGTGTATTGGAAAAGGTGACAGATCAAGACTGGCCAACCATTCTCCACCTGCCCACCCCATGCAGGAGAATATAACAGGTAGAAAGAGAGCCTGACTGGGAACTCATATAAATGTTATAGGAGACATACTTAACATACTTCTCCTAAGTATCCGCCATGCCTCAAGCTAGGGTTTTTTTCCTTTGAGGTGTTGTGGACTGAGGAATTCAGCAGAGAAGGTGATAGGCAAAGGACATGGCAGGACGGGTTCTTTGGGGCCAGTCTTCCAATGAAAGGAACAATGAATCATAAGACTGTTTTCTCCCCCAGCTGGTAGGCCATCATATTCTGTGTAGATGGCAGAGTCGGGGCCTACATAATTAGGGGACAAACATAATTTGGGAGTGTGCATATTTAGATAAGAGCCAGCTTGTTCTAGTGGTTAAGGTGCTGGACTAGGAGCAGGGAAACCCAAGCCCTACTTAGACACAAAGCCAGCTTCATGACCTTGGGCCAGTCACTTTCAGCCCTAGAAAAAGGACAAAGGCAAACCACTTCTGAAAATGTTGCCAAGAAGGTTGTCCATGTACTTACCAGGAGTCACAACTGACTCAAAGGCCCAAAACATACAGACTCATTTAGACTATCATTCCAACATGCAATCTCAAGATGGAAGTGTGAGGGTAGATTCATATAATTCAAAGCAGCCCATTTCTGCTCTTTCCATTGATAACAGTTTCAGCATCCTTCCAAATAACATGTTGTTGACATTTAAATGAATTATAAAAGCCAATTACAATGCAGATTGTACTGGTTTACATTACTTGGGATAATTGGGAAGGGTAAGCCTCAGCAACCCCAGATGTCAGATCATATTTTGTTATTTCACTTGAGTGTGGAAATACTGTATTTTTTTTCCTCTAATATTTGTGGCTAAAATGAAACGTATCTGGTTATTCAACAATTGCTTTGGCTTCTTGGCTAAAGTTCTTTGGATGGAAATCCCCTGGGAAAAATTTGTAATATTACATCAATGTCAGCCAAAAATAAAAATAATCTGGATGATTGATTCCAACATGCTGAAAAAGTTATAACAAATTGTGTGTGTATGGGTGTGTATGGGTGTGGTGTGGTGTGCATATACACACACGCACACACACACACAAAAGAAAAACCAGACATCCAAGAAAAGCGTATATCTAAATTTTCTAATCTAATCTAGATCTAATTAATCCAATCTAATGCTGATACATCAGCACAGATCTGAAAGAATCAGGTTATATAATATTATTTTACATACATACACACACACATACAAACACATACGTACATATACATATATGAAAAATGCATGTGCTATATAAAATCAGTGCTTAGGTAATTCAATGGTTAGAACATAGCCGTGCTGGATGGTAGATGCTGTACAGCTGTAACTCTACATTAACATTCTCAGACTGAACATATACTTTATTAATATTTTTTTTATTTCTAATAGAAATACCGGGGGGAGGGGAATGCTATTATTTCAAAAGCAGCAAGACAACCTGATTAGCATGTCCTGCGAACAAAAGCTGACAAAAGGCAGAACATTCTCCCAGGCCACCTTTTAACTAAATAAACTTCTGGACTCCTTTTCAACAAGCACAAGACGGGGTACAAAAACCAATAGCCTATTATACACTAAACCAATATCAGTTCAACAGAACATTAAGCAATTTTTAGATAGTTTAAAAAGTAGAGAGAAAAGCCTATCTACAGACATATATTAAGTAAGAACTAGATGTTACAAATTCTGTGAAGCGATTGTTCTGTGCACGCTGTTTTTAATAGGAGGGTCTTTTGTTGTAGATATGGTTTTATGGTATGGAGTCCATGTAGAGTAGCAGTAAAGAAATGCCACGATAAATGACCAAATAACAGATGTTGTAATGCATTTTAAATGTGTCCTGTGTCACAGAGAGTCCACTTGTACCTCAGACTGAGAAGAAGGGTATTTCCAGCCAGGTTAATTGTCCAGATTCGTTCCTGTAATTTTAGCTGGAAATCAAAGGACATCACTTTCAATCTCTAATCATTCTTTATTTTCTCACTGTTTCTTCTATCTTTTCTTAATAGAAAAACGGCTGCACAATGCCTTTTGACTCCTAATAACAGGGCTGCTTGTTTCAGAGCTGTGCTAGGACTGTGGCAATGCCTTATTGACTATCAGGTGTGCAGCCTAGCTTCTTCTCTTTCGATGTCTGCTTGCCAAGCACGAGATAGCTGTGAAATCTCAAGGAAGAGCAGCTGAGAAGATTTTGTGTAGCCATGCTTTTTAATTTGGAAATAACTTCACCTTTCCTACATGCCTTTTAAACTTGCAGCCTTCCCAGGCTTTTTAAAAAATGCTTAAGCACATCTTGTTTGACTCAGAACTTCTCAAGTTATCACTTTTTGGCTTGGAAATATCACTCTGGGTTTTCCCCTGCCTGGGACCCACAAGGGGCACAGCCAGTTAGGGCATGACATCATCAGAACAGTTGAGGCTGAAACTTTCAGTCCAAAGTTTGCAGGGCAGCAGCTGTGTGTGTGTGTGTTTCATCTTCTATACTTTTTCAGTTAAAGGGGCTAACTTTCCCTAATTTTAGTGGGATAGACTCAGGATTTTTAAGGAGTAAAAACTTTAAGTCACCCCCTTTTCTCCTGAAAATCTTCCCAGTTGTAAATCCTGCTTGCAAGGGGAAAAAAGGGTCCCCATGTCCACTCAAGGAACCTTCAGACCACAAATACAATGCTGGGCAGGTCATTTAATTTGTCAGCCTCTGATTTAAATGGGAAAAAAAAAACAGGAGTTTACACTTCCATAACAAACATGGGTTAATATACATAGGTTTTCCCTGTTGTTTTGCTCCCTGCATAACCAAAAGAAATCCCTTTTATTTATTTCACAACTCTTCCGCATGAGGGCAGCATACACTGCTTGTACTGTAGTTGACCCTTCATTTGCCTTTCTCTAGCAAATTCAATAGAGAAAAGCCAGAGAAATCCATGTCATATTTTGGAATCAGTTTTAGAAAAGCAACACATTTCCATAAATCCTTATGCCTAAGGGGAAATGATCTGAGATGAGTTTTCAAGTAAACAATTTTGCTTCTACCTATGGCTGAGCAGGCAAAGAAAGGAAATAAAGCTTCCTGGTAAAAACGGTCTTGCTATTGTGAGAGATGGATAAAATATGTTATTATTGACAAAGAAAT